CCAGGAGTCTCGATATACATTCGCCACACCCGTCTCCACTCTTCACGCAAACCCCCTGACCGCAAGGCGACATGCGCCTCCAAGCGAAGCAGCAGTAAACGGACACATGCAATTGCCCGAAACTACACACATCACTTTTATATGCATCACACACTAATCTATCTCACGTCACTCACTAGAAGGACAGGACAAGCATCTTGGATTTAAGTGGGAGGTGTGTTTTTCCGTACCTTTCCCACGAGGCCTCCTTGTTACGCCAACATTTGTGAGAGCCGAACAGCCCAACGCATCGTGCTAAAACCTGGTGCGCTGTGCGGAGGTCGGGTCGTGGGTAGCACGGGCGAGGGGACTATTTTAGTTATCATCTACCGCGCCCAAACTCACTATCATTTGGTTGACCGGCTCGGACAACTGACTAGTCCACGGGAGAGGGATGAGAGCGAGAGAGAGAAAGTGAGGCCGACTCTCTCAGCGCATATTCCTCGTCGTCAATCCCCTTTGTGCGAAATCTTAGTGGGTTATTCAGGGGACCACGCGACACACACAGTCGAGCTCACTAGCTCTGTCAGCCACTCTGCCCAGTCTCTGCATCAGACACCTGGCCGGATAGGACAGCGAACTGATTCCCGAGAGGAGGAAGATAGTGAGGCTGACACTCTCAGTGCACAGTCCTCACTCTGAACACTGACGTGCTTTTTAGCTATCCGGGTGCATTAAAAGCCTTGACTTGGAAGAATGCCAGCTGGTGGGATAACTCAGCGCTCCTCCCTGGAAGGAGAAAAACGATGCAGTGGCTCTTTCTTAGTGTCGCCTACACAGCACAGATGGGATCCGGCCCGTCGCCTTCTTGTTTGGGTGGAAACCTATTCGGATCAGGCGTGTGCGTCATGCGTAAAGGGTCTGTTTAGTTTTGTCAGCCAATGCACCCAATGCCGCCTACGATCCTCTTGACTCCGTCTTGACATCGGACTCAGGAGGGCGGCGGGACGAGTGTGCTGTGGAGGCGACACAAGTCTACTATTAATAAAAACCCATTCACAGGTAAGTCACCGTCTCCGCGCAGATACCACACACTCTGTATGGCACTGAAACTACTCATAAAAATGGGGCAAAGATTGTTGTTGTTGTTTTTGTTGTTGTTGTTGTTGTTGTTGTTGTTGTTGTTGTTGTTGTTGTTGTTAAATGAAGTCTTGCGTTGCATGACACAGCAGAGTTGGCAACACAGGTACTAACCAAAAGCCCAGACACGTGATTCTTCCATATCCTACGGCCGCATGGCAAGGCTGCGAGGGGTTCGGATCACCACTGTGTCCCCCTCGGTTCCATGTGTGCTTTTCTGGTAGGTAATCCACTTTTAAAATTGCAGATCTTTAATTTCCTCAGAAATTAATTGCTAACTTGGAGTAAGTCGGTAAATCAGTCCATACCAAGTTTCGGTCTGAGTCTTTAAGTCACAAATAGGCTGATTAACTAAAGATAGCGAGTGAGTGTTCTCACCGGTGGTGGGGATGGGAACGGTGGCGGGAATTATGGATGGGAATGCTGGGCGTCGAAAGCCCCGTCCGTACCTTCCAATCAGTACAGAATAATAAAACGGAAGGCTACTTACAAGTTTGTTTCTCAGTGCAAAACTAGGGTTTGAATAGTAAACGCTTATGAAATTGCTGAATTTCACTCCAAAATATGTCGCAAAGCTCTGGATAGGCGTGAATAAGGTTACCCAAGTAGGCAGTGGGGTATTTAACAATTTCTGGATCTGCAGCACTGCTCCCGTCTGCATGACATAAGAGTGTCTTGCGGTGTCTGTTGAAAACTACAACCAACCACCGCAATTCAGACCTGTCGGCAAAGAAGGCTTTCAAAGTCTTCTCGAACGGATATCGTCCACGATCAACCCTAAGCAGGATGTATCTGAGCGAGTGAAGTTTCGAAAGTGTTTCCTTCAATAGTATTTCAAAACGATCCTTCACATAAAATCTATTTAAATCCATAAAGAGCAGCTCGAGTGCATTATGCGACGGAATCGAAGCAAAGTCAAAGGTAAGATTCCTCAGGGAGAATATGTAGAGACGCCGAAGACGACCACAGGTAGTCAGGATCTCTTGAATAATCCGTTCACTGAAGATGTCTATGGCAATAATACGAACTTCCTTCAGTGCCGGAAAGAGACCCAAATAGGTGGAAATATTCTTCGCAGATGGACGGAGTTGTCGCTCGACCAGATCACCACCGGCAATCACAGTAGCCTTTCGAACATTTAAGCACTTGTCCTGCAGTCGGAGAAGCCGTCTTGTTGTCAGCACATCGGAGCAACAGGCTGTAATGAGCTCACCGGACACTTCCAGAGATTGAAGATAAGGACCACACTTCTCAATGATTGGGAGGAAACAATCTCTCGCGAGAGACGGCATCTCCTGGATGTATTTCCCTTTACGCGCATCA